CCTTATAGAGCTTTTGCCCTGAAGGTTAATAAATGTTAACTGCATTGAATATTTCACAAGAGAAAAGGTCAGTTCAAACTCTTCACAAAATTTATTTTATCTGAAACTAAACCTCCTCCAAGGAACTCAAGGTGGCATACAAAAGGTTGTATCCAATGGGAGAAGATATAAGGTCGGACTACTCTAACAATGGAGCCAATTTTTGATGTCCATTATTCTTTGCAGCAAATCTGGACAGTGTAGGAGATGTTAAATGGCCATTAATGTTCAAAGTTGCCTACAAAGCTGTACCATTATATTCTTTCTACCATCCTCATGATATTAGCATTTACATATAGTCCACAACTTATCAGAGTAATTGGGATCTTGCAGTCCCAGGTACCTTCATTAACCAAATCCCATGGCTGTTAGCAACGTGACTTCCTACTGGCTTCCCACAACCAAAGTCAATGGGGATGTTGGCTCAAGGCTGCAAGTCCCAGGTGATCAAACAGGATGGCTGTTAAATGGGGGAGGGAACAAGGGAATGCACGGGGGAGACAAGTAAGGGTGCACAAGGACTGCACAGGAGGTGTGGCAAAAGTCAGGGGGGGACATGAGAGAGTATTCAAGAGGCATGGTATGGTTGGGTAGAGTGTGAAATGCACAAAAAATTCAGTATAAAAAGCACTGCCTGAGAGTTTGATTTTGCCCCATTGGGGGATCCTCTCTCCCGAGCAACATTTCTGTTCTCAAAGAGGCCTAGTAAAAAATGTCTGTCCTGAAATCCAAGTAGGATTTTGGCACAGGGCATTTGCCTCCCAGAAGCCCCTCATTTCTAGGGGCTGACTCCTAATGCCCAATGCTCTGTGTGAAAACCCTGCTTGGATTTTGAGACAGAGTTCCATTCTGCCCACAGAGGGGATAGGAACTTCAGGAAGATCTGAGCTTCTTTTCTTCAGCCCAGTGTTACTATTCCCTTCTGCACAAAGAGGGGGTACACCTGCCCCTCATTGTCAGGTAGTTCTTTCGTTCCATACACTTAATGACCACAACGGAGGAAAGCAGGGATTGGGGTAGTTGAGCAAGATGGTCACATGGCTCAACTGTGAATTAATTTGAGGACTACCTGTAAAGTTAACAGCAATCATGGATTTTGTGCAGTGCTAAACTGAACAGGTATTAATTATAACCATTTTTGGACAGAGGAGAGAATACAATTAAGCCTTTATCGTTGGGAGGAGGGAAATTAAATCCTTTTTGCAGGAAGACACTCTTTTATGCACAGAAGGCTCTGGGGTCCAGAGCAGGTAGACCTTCTCAAGTCTGGAAAAGGACTACCTGTCTGCTGTCCCAGGCAAAAGGTACAAGCTTGCTGCCTCAGCTTAATTGTAGCAGAGATGAAAGCTTGCTATTGCTACAGCACGGAGTGATAAAAAATTCCTGTCAGTCTGCCTCACGATGGAGATTTTTTTTTTTAATATTTATATTTTTAAACTAGATTTTTTTTCTTAAAATATAAAAAAGGGCAAGACTGAAGTCTTTTGAGCAACATAGCTAGTATGCACGACTATCTATTAACCTAACAGAAAAAAAAAGAAGAATTGGGGTCTAAATTTGAGAAATGCGTAGTAATAACAAAGTAAACAGAGGGGGTGGGGAAACATTGATTAACAACTATTTTAAAAACCTCAGTTCAGTCAGATATGAACAGTAATACAAAATAAAGTATATGTTAAAAACTGATAGTAAAACTGCTATGCAAAAAAACTCAATTGAACTAAATGAGGCACACTATTTAAAAAGACAGTCTTAATAGTACAAATTCTGAAAAAATGTTTCTTTAATTAAGAAAGGAACTCCATGTTACAAAGCAAAAGCAAGTGTTAGTAGAAATCACTAAGCAAACAAGTGTCATTAGAAATCCCTAATGTGGTGATCATGGAATTAAGATGTAAAAGACTGCATTTGAAACTTGCAATTTATCCTGAAACTATACTCCCTTAGTTCAACATTTTTCTTCTTTTTTCTCCTATCTATGTTATGAGGATTTTTAAAAATAGCAGGGAGAAAAAGAAACGATTACCATGTCTGCATTATATTTGGGGAGCACGTCAGCTGGTAGAATATCTAAATCTATGCCCAACACATAGCAAATTAATTTTAAAAAATGCATCTATTTCAATGAACACTATTTGCTTAAAATTAAGGCATACCTGTGCTATATTTCATTTTCAATCATCAAAAGAAGAGGAAACAATATTGTGAAGATGTCTCGATGCTACCATTGTTAGGTAGAATTTTAGGGTTTAGGTTTAGGAAATCATGTTTTTCCTTTGAGCTAAAGCTATATCCTTTGAAAAACTAGCTTTTTCAGGAACAGTGATGAGAGTAATCAAATAATAGGACTGTATTCTAAAGTCCTTGATCAAAGCTAAGAAAGAAAGAAACTTGGTGGGAAAGGAGGAGATGCAACGTATTTTACAATCAGCTACCTCAAGACATACATTTGGCACTTGAGGAATTTTATCTAAGATGTCTGTTTTTTCTCACATTTTAAAAAATGAAGCCTTTATTGCACACCAACGATTTGTTGCCTTTACTTTTGCTCCCTATCATACATTGAAATATATGTAATAACCTCTTTCTGTACTTTTCAAAGGTATTGGATGTTTCTCTCTCAAATTCAAGAACTCAATTCATTCCAGCTCTACATCAGCTCAGGTGTTTGAGTTTTATGGGTAATAATAGGTAGATTGATTTGTATTGTAGAATTAGATGAAACTATTTTGACATGTCATATTTAAAAGTCTACTTATCCATAAAGCAGAGCTTCAGAGCCCTTATATAGCTCTAGCTTATAATTTGGAATTTGCAGTTTTTAAAAATACAAGTTGGCAAATAGACTGAATAAAATCTCGGGCACTTGATTTTTTCATATTTTCAGCTGTTTTATTGCTTCTATAATTAGGTTCTTTTTGGGCAATATGCTTACAAGAAAGCTTATCTTCAATATTTTACAAATGAAAACTGTGTACATACACACAGAGAGAAAATGTGTTATATCTAATTTACTTTGTAAACAAAAGTTCCTACCAAAGATATTAAATAAGCCAAGACAGTATATAGTCATAAGAATTAATATAATTCTAGGTCTAAAAAATGGGGTAAACAGAAAGATCAAGAGACTAAAGAAGTAGCATTTATATATCTAAATACAGTAGTATAGTTATAAGACAATATTCAGAAGGCCACAGCATCCTGAAATTCTTACAATGATCAATTCTCATTTACCTGCAAAGTTTTTACAGTATTATAGTCTCATATAATGAGAATTGGGAAGATATGCCTTCAAAAGTATAACATTTTCTCTTGCAAATCAATATGTGATTTTGATTTGATATCAGGTTTTCAAAATAAGAATACTTTTAGTTCTCTGAACACGAGCATAAAATCTTTGTATGTATTTTTTAAAAAAACCTTACTCAGTAATTTGAAGCAGTGAGCCAAGGAGTCAGTTTGGTGTAGTGATTAAGGCATCAGGCTAGAAACCAGGAGTGAGTTCCAATCCTGCCTTAAGCACAGTCAGCTGGGTGACCTTGGACTCTCTCTTAGGCCAAGGGAACAAACAAGCAAAGGCAAACCATGGCCAAAAAACCTTGCCAAGAAAACTGCAGGGACTTGTCCTTGCAGTCACCAGGAGTCAAGACTAACTCAAAGGCACAAAAATAAATAACTTGAGGCAAATGTATGAATGATTACTGTCATAAAATTAATCTCTTTCAAATGTTTTGCCTGCTGTAGAAACAAAATGTATAATTGTATGGATATAACAAATAAGTACTATGTATTTTTTTTTCAGGATAGAAAGAGCATTGGTGTTTTCATTTTGTTGTGGGAAAGAGCTCTTGAGAACATCATGGACAGCGAAGAAAACAAATAATTTCCATTTCAGGCAGAAACATTCAAACAATTTCCACTTCAGGGTCAATTTGTCATATTGTGGATATTTTATGAAAAGACCCACTTCTTGGAAAAGTCAGTAATGCTGGAAAAGTTATGAGAAAAGACAACAACCAGCAACAAGATGGATGCACTTGATTACAGCAGTGATAGGTACACCATTGGCAGATATGTAGAGTCAGGCTAGAAACAGATCATCTTAGAAGAGGTCCATCAATGTGGCTGCTAATAGTCAACATCACTTTGATAGCACCAAATCAATGTCTACTTTCAACATAGGAACGAAGCAATTATAATTTAGCTGGGATCAGTTTATTAATCTTAAGCAAGTCTTATTTTAGGTTAACCATACATTTGAATCCATTTTAAAGCCAATGAAAATAGTGCCAAGGTTCTCAATAAACACTGTTCTGTGTTAAATATTGTTACAATTAATTGTCAGGAAATATGAATACCTTACAATGTACTACAGGTAATCCTCGCTTACTAGCCATTCGTTCAGAGATAAAAGTTATGATGGCACTTAATGAGAGGGACTTAAGACAATCCTCAAAACTGCAACCTCTGCAATGTCCTTGTGGTCACATGATTGTGATTTGGGCATTTGGCCACCAGTTCTCATTTACAGTGGCTGCAGCATCCTGTAGTGACATGATTACTATTTGCAATCTTTCCTGCCACTTTCCCATGAACAGTGAATGGGGAAGCCAGCAGATTGCAAGTGGCTCAGGTAAGTTGTTCCCATTGGTTTTTCTACTGAGGAGGAGGAGGAGGAGGAGGAGGAGGAGGAGGAGGAGGAGGAGGAGGAGGCCATGAGTGGCAGGATGAGTGTGGACCCTGATTACTATCCACACTGCACAAGCCCTCCAGGCCCAGCATTACCACATTTGTGCCATGGCACACCTTCCCCCACTCAATTGTACTAATTCCAATTCAATTACTGTTATTAAGTGACAACTACCTGTATATCCTTTGCTTTTAGTTACAAACAGTTACAATTTTTTTTAAAGCCACATTAGCCACAGTATTCTAACTTACTAAATAAATGTAATTTTTACCATGGAAGAGACTGATCTGGCATCCTCCTCATAATTTACAACAGGTGGGGGCTCTTTTCCATCATTTTCTTGCACTTTTTGTTGAAGAAGTTCCTTCTGAGCTGCAAATTTGACTTCAGTGCATTTCAGCTGCTGAACAGTTTGCTTTAATTCTTCAAGGGCTTGCTTCTGGCTTAGCAGAAGCACAATGCTGAAAAGAACGGCATCAAAATTACTAAAAGCAAAATGGAAGCATGTATTTCATTTCTCAAGATCATAACAAATAATATATCTTTAGCAGATTTAAGATTTTATAAGGTGGGATTAATACTAGATGGAGTTGAGTGGTTGTTAATTGTCAACTTGTTTTTCCACTCAAAAAAGCCTAATCTAAAGAAGAACAGAATAGGAATTTGTTTAGGCTGCATTAAAAATTTATGTGGAGGAAAACATTAATAAATAACAAAGAAATCCATGCAAATTTCCCAAATTCCATATAACTGAATTAAAGAAATACACAGTTTAAAATCATTACATTCAATCAAAGGGATAGGAAATAAATTATGCCATTAGAGACAATAAATAATAAAAGAATTAAAGAAAAATAATGCTAGAAGTGCTGTAAGATTTAAAAAAGGAGTTTTATATTAGCTTATAAAATCAGTTAATAAATATAGTCAATAATTCTAAACTTACAAATAGGGTGCAATGAAGCATGATCTTAGCAAATGAGTTACTGTGCATCATCTGGATTTCATTTTCATTCAAGAATATTACATGAATAACTTGGAAAATTAATTTTATATATCATACCCTTCCATGTCTGCCATTTACTCACTCAGATTTTCTTTCATAGACCTTAGAAGACTCTTCAATCTTCTTTTCTAATTCCAGAACTAATTCCTCCTTATTTAGAAGTGTCTGCTGTGTCTGAATCAGTTCTTCTACTACAGTTTTCAACCTATGATTTAAATGAATAGTAACAAATATAATCTGTGACTATTTAGTAGAACTTTCTTTGTATTTCTCAATGGAGAATTCTTTTTCAAATAATCATCACATTTAGTTTTTGTTTTTATTATTTACTATTATTAATTTTATTATATTTGAGAGCTGTTTAGAGTGGTTATATTAAAGAAATGTATAAATCTCAAAAGTAAAATAGAAGCTAAAAAGTATTTATATTTTTTGTGGAATCTTTTCAAGCTGTCAAACATTTATATTCTATTTTTTTTAAAAAAAGTACTTTCATAAAAAAGAGGCACAATAACAGGAATATATTGCAAACAAACTAGAATTTAATGGTTTTCATTTTGAGATTATTCTGCTTGTAATATAGTTTGAAATAACATAAATGCAATAAAGCTCCACAAATATATTTTTACTACATATAAAAACAATCTTCTTTAGCTCATTGCATTTATTTATATGCTGTTGGGACTTTTCTTGTTATGAACTAATTATGTTCATTTAAATGTAGCAAAATTAATTTACCATAAGGACAATTAACAGTTTAGAAACTTGTTATATTAAAACCATAACTGTCCTACGATAATATAAATTCATTAATTCTTAATGGCCAGTTTTTAGAAAATGCATTGCCCTTTTAAGATGTTTATACCCAACTGAGAACATCTGAATTCTGAACTGACCACCAAGAATGCCAAGAATAATAACCCTTCATTAAAAAAAAAAATCACTTACAATGTTCCACAGAAATGAAGAGCTGAAAGATTCACTAAGTCAGCTAACTGCACTGAGACACATTAATTTTCCCCAAACTGTCCAATAGTAGGACAAAACTTATCATCTATTATCTCAAGAAACTGAATAATACAATAGCACAGAACAATGTCAAATTAAACAGAGCAGATTAATTTACCAGATTTATTAACTTTCCACTTCCAATTTTCTTTGCTTTCACTATTCATCAACAGAGGGATCATAACTAAAAACTCATGTAACCGATCTTTTCTAAGAGAACAATCTATCTTTCATTTTCTATTTTATGCTACACAAATCTTATTTCAAAGCAACTAGGTACAATGCAGTATCTTGTTCATCAAACAGAGAAAAGACAAGTTTTAATAGTGGTTAGAAGTCTGGAAGTCTTGCTTTTTATTACAAGAAATTATGATCACGGTGGCAAGACCTTTTACGAATTAAGTCCTGTCTTGAAAGTTGTGAGTAGAAGTTAATTTCACTTACAAACAGGAAATTATTAATTTTACTTTTCAGGTATTTCATAGCAATGACAAATTCATCAACTTCCCTGTACATCTTTTTTTTTTAGGGGGGTGGTTATGGTCAACCCTGATGATAGTACAGAAATGAGAAACTTTCTTACATAAATAAAAGCAAGTTCTTCACACGCATGGGGGAAATGTAAGGTGTTATCATGTTATAACAACAATTATTTGTTTACAGACACACTCCTACATACAAAGATATATTTTCTGACAGAATGATTAGTATAGAATTATTAGTATTACTTATTAGGTGGTCTATCATTCAAAATCCTACTAGCCTCATCTACATTTAAACAACCATAGCTCCAAACTAGATAGTTTCTTATCATTCCTTATTCTGGGCCAAAGGCCTAATGAACTGTTTTTACAGTCTTGGTGATTTCTGAAGCATCTCAAGAGAAAGGACAAAGCACATCTTTAGGTGGACTGCCACAGAAATGTCTGGTTCACATCCCTTTTCTTGTTGCAGTGGAAAATTTCAGGTAAGCTCTCTAGATGTATAGACTAAAAAGACAAAATCATGTTTAATAAGGCTGAGTCATACGTGTCTTAACAACATGTCAGGTCTTTATAGTTAACAGTACTTTGAATTTTGAACTGGCCACCAAAACTGGCTGGTAACAGATCCAAGAGACCACAAAGTACATGAAAATCTATAGTAGTGTGTTCTGTTTCCATGTCATTTGCTACACTGAACCAACTGCAAGTTTTGAGTCATTAACAAAGGCAACCTGGTATGGTTTGCACTGAAGTAATCCAACTATGTGCTGATTAATGCAACAGTTACAATTCCCAAGTATTTGTGGTGTTATAACAAAAAATGGATAAGTCTCCTTGCCACAACCTGAGTGATTATGCTGAACATGGCTGTTGACTAAATGCATAGAACGATGTTTACTGCTTTTATTGTCACTATGTAGGCACAAATATGGTCATTTGGGTCTCAGTCATTTTTTTAATTTTATATCACCATTGATTCTGGCCTTTCATTCATGAAGCTCCTCCAAAAACCAGAGAACAGAAGGATTTGACAACTGAGATTGGGTGACTTAGAACAATCTCATCTAGCACTTGGACCACCTCAATGCAGGGGTGAAATAGTCCCAGTTCGGACCGGATCGCCCGATCCAGTAGCGATGGCGGCGGGTGGTTCGGAGAATTGGTAGCAAAAATCCCTGCGCCCCCCCCCCACCATGCCCAGCTGAGCCGCACGATCATCAGAGGCTTTTTTTTTAACTTTTAAAAGCATTTTTTCTACAACCTCTTCCGACAAAAAAATGCTTTTAAAAGTAAAAAAAAAAGCCTCTGATGATCACGCGGCTCAGCTGGGATCGTCAGAGGCTTTTCAAAGCATTTTTTTCTGCAACCTCTTGGCCGAAGAGGTGGTAAAAAAAATGCTTTGAAAAGTCTCTGAAAAATGCTTTGAAAAGAAATGATCCTAGCTGAGTTGCCTGATCGGCAGAGGAGCATTTTTAAAAAAGCCTCTCTGACAATCCCAGCTGAGTTGCCTGATCGGCAGAGGCTTTTCAAAGCATTAAATGCTTTGAAAAGTTAAAAAAAAAAAGTTGGCCACACCCAGCCAGTCACATTACACCCCCACATTACACCTCCACCAAGCCACGCCCACAGAACCGGTAGTAACAAATTTTACATTTCACCCCTGCCTCAATGTAATGGAGATTAACAAGGCATAATGATAAACTTTTAAATTACATTTAGACTCCCCACTGTTCATATTCAAAATCAGACATAACCATCTCCGCTTTTCCTTCTCTCCATAATCAACTACCTATTATAAATAAATCATCTAGAGCCTACCTGTTTATTAAGTAAAGCAAGGGCTCCTCTTCAATTTTCTCACTCAAAGGGGATCCTTGCAGCATATCAGCCAAGGAGTCTAATATTATAGCACATCACCAGTCCACAAGCTATGTTTTCAAACAAAGCCTCGGCTGTTTATTTCATTCAGTTCTCTCTCTTTCCTCTTTCCTCCAGCCAAATAAGTATTTAGGAACCTGTTGCCATAACAGCTTCCAGTCTTCTACTCTTCTGGCTTTTGCTCCAAACCTTGCAAACAATTCTCTACTCTTTGTCTTGGTCTACCATTCTCACTGATTTTGCCAGGATATTGTTCCAGCCACAAATTTTAAGTATTTTTCTGGATGGGCCAGCTCCGTGACTCTCCTGTGAGTGCCTGATCAACAATGGCAGTTATCATTCTGTTCTCTCTTTCTTCTGCAGCTGTCTCTGCAAAACATAAACCAGCAGCAACTTTGCTTACTCTTCAAGGCCTCTGCCATTATCCAGAGTCAACTCCAGTCCAGCTTGCCTCCCCAACTAGGTCCAATACATCTCATCTTATTTCCACTGTTACTACCCTTAATTTTTCCCTTCCCAGCATCCCATATCCCATTCAACATCTTCTAATTTAACCTTCCTTCCAACAGATTCTCTAACATCCAACTGCTTCTCACTACGAGTTAGTTTTTACATACGGAACAGCTAGTCTATTGTCAAAACAAGACAGACAATCTGGGCCTTCCTGTAAAACAAGAGTGCTATCCAGGACATTACATAATTCTGATAGGAGAAAGAGCTACAAAAATGTGAAGATTGATTTCACTAAGACACCGTTTTGATACAAAGCTGGTCCAGTTTTAGATGCATTTTTGTCAGTCCTATGGGCACATGTTCTTCTTGATGTGTGGATTGCTGTCCTACAGAGTTCTCTTCCCAGATGCTGTAAAACCTTGATTTAACAGAATCCCATTTAATAGACTTCAAGTGTAATCAACCCAATTTCATCCAGATCTTTCCTCTAAATAACAGATGTCCACTGTGTTTGAAATAAATTGATGCAAATGACACAATTTGTGATGTTTGCATAATGACATAATTATAAAATCCCTATGTAGTCCTGATGATGTACTTTAATATTAAATGGACACTGAAGAGTAAATGAACTCCCTCTTCCTAAGCGGCCCATTATAGTGAGGTTTCACTGTCATTATTCTCCAATTTTGTCTAAAGTAGCCATCATCCAGTCATAATCTAACACAACTTTTAGGTAATTCTTGGCAAAAGAAAGATAAATCTACATTTCTCATAATTTTTGACAGCATAACCAATTTGATTTATATTTTATTTTGTATACAACCTGATCATTAAGAAAAAGGGGGAGAGAGGGAGATAGAGAATGGCTATAACTTTCTTATAAAAATTATATTACATAGATCTTACCTGATTCAGCACATTTTTTTATATCTTACATAGCCAAAATTGAAAAGGGAAAAAGAGGCTAAATTACTTACATAGCTTGTAAACCGTCAGCTGTCAAATTATTCCACATAATCTCATTAGCTTGAAGATTTTCATTTTCTTCTAATAATGATGTATCAAATTCTATTTCTTGTTGTTCAATATCTGATGTCCTTTAGTAAAAAAAAGCAACAATAATACAAGAGTAAGGCATTTCTTTTTTCAAACCACCTGACTGCAATTTTTAAGAACCTACTCAAAGAACTGATGACCTCCTAGGATTTCCTTTCCTCAGGAGAAAGAAAAGAAAAAGAAAAAAGAAATTATCCAAACTTGTGGCTGCAGTGAGTAACAAGCTTCCATCACAGATCATTGTACTAGGTAGATTAATTATAAATTAAGATGCATTGGCCCTGGAAGTTATAATAATGTAAGACTAGCTGAATAACTGATTCTACTTTATAGTTATACTATACTTTCTGACATAACTATGCCATATCATGTAAATGTTCAATATCTGCTCTCATTTTATTTTTCTTCCCCTGCCCCATCAGTTTTTTGTTCTATGTTATAATGGTCATTCATTCATTCATTCATTCATTCATTCATTCATTCATTCATTCTCTGCTGGAGATGGGCAGTTAAGAAATTTATCTGTAAATAAGAAAGTTCTAGATATCATATCAAAAGAACAGATTCCTCCACTTTAGTCTGCTAGAGTAAATCACATTTAGATTTTTGAAATGAAACAAAGTCAACTACTACAGAATATATTTTTTTACTGCTTCAGTATATTAGAATTCTGTTACCTCTTCTGTGAAATTCCAATTGCAGCAATAGATTTCTAATGAAGAACTGCAGTGGCAGAAGGAAGGAACTATTAAAGAACCAGAATGATTCTTTAATAAATCTGATTTTCTTTACATATGTATCACATTTATAATTGCAAACTCAAAAGTAAATTCTGATTATCAATAAAAATATAGTAGCCATAACAGTATATCTCTGAACATATATTTTATATTTAAAATAAATATTCTTAAAATAGCAAGCAAGTAAAAAAAAGTGAATTTTATTTAATTGCTAAATAAATGCCTCAAGTAATAATCATGCAGTTTAACAGTCCTGCATGTTCTTTTAAAACCTATGCATCGATAACACCTGAACTTTCTAATCTGTAAGTTTTATATCAACAACAACAAAAACTCAGTCCATATAGCAAAATATCTGAAAAAATACTAGAAAAATGTTATCAACAGAGGAAATTTTTTGCAGATTACAGTAATAGGAATACTGCACAGAATTAATTATTTGCCCAGATTACTACATCTGATGTTATTATGTGCATTAAATATTTTATGTGAAAGATCTGTTTGTAATTGTTGGGCAATTTAAATCACACAGATCACTTTTGCTATTACATGGACTTATTTTTATAAGCACAGTTACTATGTACTGCATTGTTAAGAACATATTTATTGTGCAGTAAAACACTACCACCAATATTTTACCTGTGAATTTCTAGGAAACTACTGTACTCTGAACCAGGGTCTAATTGTTCAACAGATATCTGTATCTCTTTATGAACATTCACTAGTTCTTCTGTCACAAGGCTGGTGATCTGACTGTACTCTTCTAAGATTCCTTTCCTGAAAAAAAATACCATGAAAATATATTCAAAATATATTTTAAAAAATGTATAAAGTATACATGTATAAACATAGAATCAAGGTGATTTAAAGCAATGCAATTCAGTTTCCAGTTTTGCGCAGGAAAATAAATTAATGTATATAGAGAATTGTCCAACTATTTTTAAAATTAATTTCTTTACTATACTATAGTACCAATCTGTTTTTACTGTGAACACCTTTTTTTAACATTCAACAGAAATTGCCTTACTATAATTCACATTTATTAGTCCATGTCCTGCCTTCTGGGATGAAAGAGACCAGTCTTGGCTGCCATCTGTGTAACATCCTTTCATATATTCGAAGGGTACTCTTAATCTATTCTTCAAACTGAATATTTCCAGTTTTTCAATTTCTTTTCATAGGGTTTAATTTTCTGTTCTGTGATCACCCTTGATGGCCTACTCTCTTACTTACTCAAGGTTGTCTGAATTTTATTTCAAATGAGATAAACTAAACTTCTGTATGCCAAATTAAGCCTAGACAACCTTTCAAATGATCAGGAAATTTGGTAGTACATGCAGTTCATTCCTCATGAAACTCCTACGTCAACTATTCAGAACTGAGTGTTGAGTTTATCTGCCCACTAGTGCCTAGCATCCTTTGACATTATGATGCTTGATCATATGTAAGGCCAAATAAATTAATAGGCTTTACTCCCAGGCAAGTGTTCATCTTGCTTTAGAAACTTAGGAAGAAAAATACGAGAGATTGGCACAATATTTTTATAGAGCTTATTTTGCTCGGGTAAGACTGAAAGTTAACCACTTGTCTTATAGACTAAGCTCTGTTCTTGTGCTTCATCAGGATCTTAGCAAATACTGCTAAGGAATAATACTGCTTTCATTCTGCTAAGGAATCTACGACCTACATTTGAACATTGTCTTTAATGCATGACAAGGCACCAATACGTATATGACGTTCAATTAAAAGAATACTATTATAATTTTAAATGAAAAGCTCACATCTACAATGTAAGAGTGCCATCTGCACATGATCTTTATTTCCAAGATTATCAATGGGTCTTTAAAAAGTAAAACCAGTGGATAATTGAGCACTGTTTTGATGGATGGTATGCCCATTTATTAGAAAAAAGATAAAGATACACTGGAAAATGAATAGTTGTATCCTGCAAAGATAATGTTGAGGGGGAAAAAATCAACACTTTCCTCCTGGAAAATGGGACTGATTAATTTGATAGTTGTCCCAACTTTCCTACAGCAGGTCAAGACAATAGATTATAATCCATTTTTTAAAGTCTTTTTGCTATTTTAAATGAAACTTAATTTGTTCTACATACATCACAAATATTAATGGACCTTTTACATACCTTGGGGAAGGGAACAGTTACTTCACAGTATTTTAGCTAGCGTAAGCAGTGTACATAATGCTCTTCCCCATCATTCCACACAATAGCAATCCTAAAAAATGGGTTGGGCTGAGAAAGTGTGACTGGTCCATATTCTCCCAGGGAGCTTCTGTGCTGAGGATGGATTAGAACCTGGATCTCTTTGGTTCGAGTCCAACCTCCCTGACAGTTATTTTGTGAGAATACTTCAAAGATGCTTTTGAAATTCTGAATGTGCTCAGAGATTATAAAAATTAAGTGATCCCTATTGTTCAAAAAGGTCTTCTTCGTTTCACTGGATAACTGATTTTACACATTTTGTGTTCCTATGCTGAATTCTTATTAATTCTTCTCCATACTACTTTTGTAATCCACTACGCCTTAGTACCATGATGGCGAACCTATGGCACGGGTGCCGGAAGTGGCAAGCAGAGCCATCTCTCTGGGCATGCTAGCCGTCGCCTGTTGCTCTTCCGTGTTCCGGTGCACACATGCGTGCCGGCCAGCTAGTCTTTGTGCGTGCAGCATGCCAGAAACCGGAAGACCAGGTGACCGGCACGCATGCGCACACCAGAAAATGGAAGCTCAGCCTCTTGGTGCATGCATGCGTACCGGGGAACTGCTCTTTCGGTTTCTGGTGCTCCCCTGTGCACGTGTGCGCACACACTCCCATTTTGGCACTCGGTGCCGAAAAGGTTCATCCACACTGCCTTAGCACCTACTTTTTTTTCTATCTGCAACACACCACCAATATTAATATTTATTTACCCCGCCTGCAAGGTAATCAATCTGTTATTTTTTAAAATATTTAAAATAATATCCTTTCTCAATACACAGAAACTGTTTTAGAAACTGGAATGAAACTTTCAGAACACCAAAGTAACAAAAAAAAAAGTTTTTTGCTTTTTCTCCCCACAGAATGACAAAAACTGTGTGAATTAGCAACAGTGAGGTATATTTTTAATGCTTATTGAATTTGCAAATATTTTTGGGATTACAAAAATCATTGTTGTATCTATGTGGTGCTATTTCTCCAGTGATAATCCAGGAATGCCAAAGGATATTAGTAGAGTAAATATTAGCCAAACTATTAGAGAAATATATGCTAAATGCATTGAAATGTATGCATTGAAATGTATCCATTTTAATCAAATTTATAATCTATTTTTTAAAAGTCTTTTTGTTCTTTTAAGGGAAACTTAACTTGTCATGTCCACTTGTTCTAAATAACTCACAAATATTAAGGAACCCTTTAGATACCTTGTCCAAAGGAACTTCCCAGTATTTCAGCTAGTTTAATTTCCGTATTTTTAATTTTCCTCATCACATTACTGATAAACAGCTTCTCTTTCTCTATTTGAACTGGAAATAAACAGTTCTAGTGTACAACTAAAAGTGCTCTATTTTTCTTCTCTTGTTTTTCAGACCATAGATGAAGTACTGAATGAATGTACAGTATCTGCCTTAGTTTTCCTCATCTGACTGTTGTTTTGTTACACTGAAGGAAAAACTAGATGAATGAATAACCCTTTATCTCACATAAACTGGTAATAATCTACTCAGTGTAATCTATTCTAATTAAGAGATTTACTGCAGTTGCAGCACAATGACTTTGAAAAAATGTGAAAAATACAATTACATTAAATATATTATATGTCATTACTTTCATGCAGCATGACATTTTTCAAGACATTTTAAAAGAGATATTAATAAATTCAATCATAAACACACTAACATTAAAAAATAGACAGTACTCTAAAAATGTTATTTCTTTATGGTTTCTGAAGAACCCAATATTTTTAAATCTTTCATAATATATAATAGAAATGTTCATAATATATAATGGAAAATATGGGACAAGGATAGACTGACTATCCTTTTATTTCACATAAACAAGTCCAACAAAAACTACAACTTCTACAGTTACAAAATAATCACTAAACAATTCAAAGCACTGAACAGGTAAGGACACTAAGCAATAATGCTGTGCTTTTTTATTGAAAAAATAAAAGGAACTTGTCACAAAAGAATATGTCTCCCGATTTGGGAATTGCAATTATGGTTTCCATTAAAAAGAAATATTTTGAAGCATAGCTGTGATGATTTCAAAATACTCATTAGTATTTTAGGGAACAATCTGATTTCAGATACCTTGTTTGAATAGTCTGATTTCAGATGCTGACAGAAACAATTATACTGAAAAGGCTATCATATAATATGAATAGCCAACAAGAGTTCAGAAGGTAATTATCATTACTTAAAAAAGACTCCCACTAATCTATTTGTAGGTTTGTTTATTTATTACGCTACTGGTTGTACCAAAGTCTACCTGATAAATAAATAAATAGAATAAAAGAAATTACAATGAAGACATAAGAACCTTTGAATTTTTGATTAACACAAAATAAAGCAAATTAATATAATTAAATTTAACAGTTAAAATCAGCAGTTTGTACAGTATAATGTGTTTTAAAGCTCTTCTTAAAAAATTAATAAAGATGTCAGGCCTCCCAATTTGGCTAGTAGTGTATTCCAAAGATCTGGGGCAGAAACAGAATTGCTATCCAATGGTCCTACATCATCAACAAAATACCCACGGATGATATCAGTAATTGTGAACATTATTCAGAATGAGAGATTCTTTCCAATACAGTAGCCAGGACCAAAGCCATGAAGTTCACTAATAATCCACCCTTTTCTATTTTGCTTGCAACTGGATTGGCAGCCACTGCAGTATTTTAATTAAAGGTATCATTTGGAATATTCTTCCATGGTGTATTTTAAACAAACTAGTTTCCAATCAAAGGACAAAAACAGCTCCATGTAAAATATATAACTATGGTCAAGCCTGTTGGTTACCAGCAAGTGTAGCAAAACTTTGTGGTTATTATTTTCCAGAAATAGACATATTTGGTAACCAATCAATGCTGATAAAGGGCAACTCTAAATATTTCTTCAACTAGCTAACTAGAGAAATTGTACATCTAGAAAAAAAACTTAAATCTTATGTTCTTGCTACTTCTTGGATTGTGTAATCCCATCCAGGACTGGCAACTACACTGTTCTAAAATTATGGCCTTTCACCATAAGCACCTCATATTGTATGATCAGTTTCAATTTGTTATTTCTTATCCAGCCCACTAATGACCACAGGCAGAAATACAGTAGACTGTATTACAGTAGAAATGTATTAATGTATAGATTGCTCCAATCACAGTCGATACCAACTAGCATTGCATAACTAGATTTCATCAGTATATTGACAGCACCCAATGACTTTAAGCTAGAAGTTTCTAATACTATCAACAACAGCAATCTTGTCAGCTCAGTAAGAGATTGTGTTAAGTAGCAAGCTAAGTAGAATGCTAACAGAATCTTCAATCTACTCCTAGTCCAAAGATTTGTCACATATATACAGGCAACATGAAACAGTTCTCACAGATATCCTGGTGAGGGAGATGTTATTCTTATAGATCACAGCCACGCCACCTCCATTTTGCTTCTCCTGGCTTCCTCTGCTAAAAAGTATCCAGACACAAGGAATTGGTCCATTCTGGTTTATGTGGCTCTCACTGCCAGATCTCTGTTAAGTCAAATATCTCACCCATGATCAAATTGTGCAATATCTCACAACCAGTCTTATTTTGGACTAATCTGGCACAACAGACAAAAAAATACCAGGATCTTTAAAAGTGTGAAACCACGGCTAGGTTTCAAGGATTAAAAAAACAGCTAATATGTTTCTCTTCTCCCTTCCACTACAACAGCTGCCAGCCTGCTGATATTCAATCATTTATTCCTCACTCCACCTATAACTATTCCCCCAAGACCCATAGATGATGAGCCCGCATGTACTTTAACAAATGGAAGAGTGTAGCTAGCTAGCTACATAAAATTGTCACAAAAAAATAAAGAGCAGCTAAGGCCGTGATGGCGAACTTATGGCATGCGTGCCCAAAGTGGCACACAGAGTCATGTCGCCTGGCACACGCATCATCCATTCCTCTTCCTGCTTTCTGGCATGCATGCGCACACAACAATCAGATGACCTTTTTGCATGTGGCAGTGCTGGAAACTATAAGAGCTGGCCTTATGTTTTCCTCAAGAGCATGCGCACCGGCCAGCTGATCATTGCATGCGCATGCGCACCAGAAACCCAGAAAAGTAGCTGGCTGAAACCAGAAGTTCAGTAGCTGAAACCAGAAGTTCATTTTTGGGCACGCACATGCGCCCTGGGCAGCTCCTCTTCCGGGTTACATCCCAGGCGTGTGGTGCCAAAAAGGTTCGCCATCACTGAGCTAGGGCAACAGAAAAAGCAAAAACAAAATTATAAATAGAAAGCCCAGAAGAATGAAATAACTCTAACTAGTTAAGAAAAACAGAGTATCAACTATGAGGAACATTCTACAATAGGGCACTCATATAAGGGCTTTAGATGTTCAGTAGTGGAAAAGATTCTAATTATAGTTGCAAATTACAATTTTACTATAAAAGATGAAATATTAAAATTCTATGACATTGATTCATAAGTGAGGTTTGTACCTGACATACAAAATTTCAAACATTACAAAAAACCTGTTATTTGACTTGTACTGCTATAAAAATTTTATACCAGTTAGAAATATCACATGTAGAAGCTTAGGACATTGCTATTCATTTCTAAAAACTTAAAATGAAAAGTTAGGAGGACTACACATGCTTTTATGAGATAAAACACTACATCTTACAGTCCTTTAATCATTTCTTCTTGCATCTTCTGTAAAGAGTCAAGGAACAAAGGAAGTGTAGCATCATAATACTGGTGCTGATGTAACTGTGCTCCTTTCAATGCCAACACGTATTGATTGTGCAACATGTGGAGTTTCATTGTGGCTTTATCATAACGATCTTTGGCTTTTTCAGTTTCCTTGCCTGAAAGAAAGGAAGAAGGGGGAGAAAGGAAGAAAATGCATACTTTCCAGACTGAATGCCAAAAAGTGTTGGGGTGAGGGAATAAACCTTAATCATCTTAATTCTTAAAAAGTAAAATGCAGTGCTTCCTTTGTTTTTTTTTTCTTTCAAATCATTTGCACTCTCTATCAAAGTACACCTAAATTTTATTATTATGATCACATTAGGATATGAACTAGGCAAAAAAATGTAAGAGAAACTAACATGATTTTTGACTTGCCAATCTTTTCAAAAGCACATATGGGCATAATATAATTATTCTAAACATGTAAACAAAACTCTTATTTATGCAATGACTGAATCTAACCAGGCTCCAGACTAAACAAGACCACAATGATCAAACTATTTTGCAGGCTTTATGCCATTTTAAAACAGCTTTAAGCCTATTTTCCAAGAGAGATAAATACATAATTATATCTTTTTTCCTTCTCTGTATGGCAATAACATAGACACAAGTGAATCATTATATATATCCCCACTGTGCAAATGCAAAGAAAGTATAAAGATCAGGAAAAGGAAAAACGAGCAATTTCTTTTAATTCTATAGCTCTCAAAGTTACAAAGAAAGCCAGTTTAGTCTAGTGGTGGGAGCCAAAGAACCAGTGGGACAGTTCTAGTCCCATATGACACATCAAAAACCAGTTGGATGACTTTGGGTAAGTCAGTCTCTCTGTCTCTCTCTCCCAACCCAAGCCACCACCCAGGATTTTTGCTGTGATGAAAATAACAGAAGGAAGAGCATTAGTTACGTTTGCTGCCTTGAGTTATTTATAAACAATAAAAGGGGGGGGGAATAAAAATCAAATAAATAATTACACATACTCTTGGGGACTCTCACCTCACCCACTCTTGTAACACTATTTCACGCAACTTTGATTCTGTATAAAGTCCTTGTAATGTAAATTATTAAACATTCAATTACAAGAGAGTAGGCAAGTACACAATGAGGAATACACATTGAAAGGAATGCCTTAATACCAGCTACATGCTTACCCTGTGTTCCCAATCACTTAGGAGGCAAATCTTTAAGGTGAAACTGATTGTGTCAATTTCAGACAGCAGCATAATTAATTAAGGTGCCACAGCTGAGCTTGTTATCCTGTGGTTGTTAACCTGTGATTGTTAACCTGTGGTTAACAATCTTTAGGAAAACATTGTGAAAGTGGCTTAGGAAGGGATAGTTTGTTTAAGCAATATTTCCCCTCTGCAAATTCTGTGAAAGACAGAAGGGGAAAAAAACAGAGACACAAAAATGCAAGTTGAGCAGTCAGGCACACATAGCATTATGTCTAGGAATTGCTTGCTTGGTTCTGACTGTTGAAAAAAATACATATCAGTGAAAGGGTCAACTTGGCTGAAATAGAAATATTGTATACAGCCCAAAGCAAGGATAAATATCATTTGAATAACAGAGTACTAATTTTAAAGAATTGAGTGTTACAAGAAGCAGAATATTACTGTAAATTGGGAAAAGTCACAGTATTCTTTCTTGCTCTTGAATTCTTGTAAGTATGCTAAATGTAATGTAGCACTACAGAACAGATTTCATGTTTTTTCTCCTTAAAACTTTATGACTCTATACCAGTGATGGCTAACCTTTTTGCCATCGTGTGCCAAAAGCGGGGGGAGCACAGGGGGGGGGGTTGTCCATAATTCTATGCACCCCGCCCCTGCACATGTGTGCGCAACCCCCTGCCCTCCCCCCAATTTTGGCACTTGATGACACGGTGGGCCCGGTAGACCCATTTTTCGCCCATCCCAGGCTCCTAAAAAGGCTCTGGAGCCTGGGGAGAGAGAAAAACGGGCATTCCGGTCCCACTGGAAGTTGGAAAACGGGCTGTTTCCAGCCTCCGGAGGGCCTCCAGGGGGGTGGGAAAGGCCGTTTTTGCCCTTCCTAGGATCCTATAAAGGCTCTGGAGCCTGGGAGGAGAGAAAAAGGGGCCTTCCGGTCCCACCAGAAGTTGGCAAACGGGCCATTTCTGGCCTCCGGAGGGCTTCTAGGGGGGGCGGTGGGGAAGGCCATTTTCACCCTCCCCAGGCTCCTAGAAAGGCCCTGGAGACTGGGGAGAGCGAAAATTGGGCCTTCCCAACCACCCCAGGCCCTCCGGAGGCAGGAAATAGCCTGTTTCCCTAGTTCCAGTGGGCCCAAAAGGCCCGAAAATCATCTGGCCTGCGTGTGCATGCGCACTGGACCTGACCTCATGTGCCCACCAATATGGCTCCACATGCCACCTGTGGCACACATGCCATAGGTTCACTATCAGAGCTCTATACGATTGATTTCCTGCAAACTTAGCCACTGAAAGTTGCTGGTGACCTCAGTCACGCTTGGGAGGTTATAAAAAAAGGAATATGAGACAAGAAATGGCCCAAGGGCTACCTGCTGCCTCATTCTAGAAAGAAGTGTAGAGCACTTTAAACCATGAAGAATAAAACGAGAAGTGATCCTAGTATCAAGGTAAGGACAAAGATAGGAAACAAAATATAATCGAAGACACCCAAAGATGAAGAAATACTTGCATGCAAAATATTATATAAAAAGAGCCATGATGGTGTAGTAGTTAGAATACAGTAAAAGGTAAAGGTAAGGGTTCCCCTTGCACATATGTACTAGTCGTTCCCAACTCTAAGGGGCAGTGCTCATTTCCGTTTCAAAGCTGTAGAGCCAGTACTGTCCAAAGACGACTCCGTGGTCATGTGGCCGGCATGATTAAATGGCAAAGGCGCATGGAACGCTGTTACCTTCCCACCAAAGGTGGTCCCTATTTTTCTACTTGCATTTTTTACATGCTTTCAAACTGCTAGATTGGCAGAAGCTGGGACAAGTAACGGGAGCTCAACCCGTTACGTGGCACTAGGGATTCGAACTGCTGAACTGCCAACCTTTCAATCGACAAGCTCAGTGTCTTAGCCACTGAGCCACTGTGTGCCTCAGAATGCATTTTAGAATTTTAGAATACAGTATGGTAGACTAATTCTGCTGACTGCCAGCGGTTGGTTTCTCACCGGCTCAAGGCAGACTCAGCCTTCCATCCTTCCGAGCTTGGTAAAATCAGGACCCAGATTGTTGGGGGCAATATGCTGACTCTATAAACTGCTTAGAGACGGCTGTAAAGCACTATGAAGTGGTATAGAAGTCTAAGTACAATTGCTATAATTCAGGTACTGCTTCAGGTACTCACTTGTTCAGCAACCAGTCAAAGTTACAATGGTGCTAAAGGAGGGAGCTTATAACTAGTTCTCCTAACTACAGCCATTGCAGGATCATGTGGTTGTGTTTACACTGCATGTAATTGCCATTTATGACCTTCATTGCTACTTCTGGCAAGCGAAGTCAAAGGGGAAGCCAGCAGGCAGTTGCAACTGACAATCACATGATTGAGAGACAATGCAACCATATGAGAGTCATCTAATGTCAGCAATCAGAACTATAAAACTGCCATTGTAAGTTGGGACAGTTACGTAATGTTTCAGTTCACAACCTTGTCACTTAATGACATTCCTGGTCTCAGTTACGTCAGTAAGCGAAGACTACCTGTACAACTAAATCAAATTCTCCTACTTGAACAACCTCTTATAGAATGCTTGAGAACTGCTGCAGAACTCCCTCTTCTAGCTCCTTAAAAAGAACTTGTAGAATTTTGATGCACAAATTATTAGTATAGCCTCAAGCCTGTGATGGTACCAAATTTCTGAATGAAGCTTATATGATGAAACACTAGGTTGCTTGCGTTCTACTACAGAAAATTAAAGGTTAATTAGTTACTTTCTTACAAGGAAAGGTAACCATAAAGCTAGGAAAACTTGTAGAAAGGGAATAAAAGAGTAACTAGTATTTTTGAAATAAAATTGAGAATACTAATACTTGTGACAAAATAAATTATAATTCTATAAATAAGCATGGGATTGTGTGCATTTCTTTAAAAAGAAATTTCTATTGTATTCTGTTACTCATAAGGTAATACTACAAATTTTTAATTAATCAATAGGTGCTCTGAGGTTTTTTATTAATTAAATTTGTATGGCCACCTATCTCACAGGAATCAAATGAGAGACAGACTATGAAACCCACTGGTATACAATGCTATCAGGAGAAGAATCAATAAGAGAACAATTTTAGAACTCTTTAAGTCTATTATTTAGGTGTAAGGGAAACAAAAATTTAAAGTATATGACTTTGGCACATATAATTTTAAGCTATAATGCATAAAACTATATCATTTATAAAACACAGTTTATCATTCAGCACTATGTATCAATCCAGTTACTGACTTATTCAACAATGGTTGTAATAGCTACATGTCAGGATGTATATTCAGATTTTTGCAAAGGAACTCAAGGTGGCATGTATAGCCCTTCTTCCTCCCATTCAGTTCCACATAACTAACTAGTAATGTGTCCACCAATTGTATTGCTTCTATATTATTATTATTATTATTATTATTATTATTATTATTATTATTATTAATTATTTATTATTTATTATTTATTAAATTTTTATACCGCCCTTCTCCCGAAGGACTTAGGGCGGTCAACAGCCAAAATTAAAATACATACAATATGAAAATTAAAATAATTTAAAACATGATTAATTTGGCTTCCCCAATTTAAAACCCCTTACCCATAAAATTGACCAGTTAAAAATTTTAAGCCAGCCTGGCTTGCTGAAATAGAAAAGTCTTCAGGGCCCGTCGGAAAGTACAGAGGTCCAGGATCAGTCGTAACCCTGGAGGTAGCTCGTTCCAGAGGGCGGGTGCCCCCACCGAGAAGGCTCTCCCCCTGGGGGCTGCCAGTCGACATTATTTGACCAACGGCACCCTGAGGAGACCCTCTCTGTGGGAGCGAATTGGCCGGTGGGAGGTTATCGGTGGCAGAAGTTGGTCTCGTAGATACCCAGGCCCTAAGCCATAGAGCACTTTAAAGGTGAGAACCAATACCTTGAAGCGTAAATTTTATCATGTTCAAAGGTCTTAGGGATTAAATCAAATCTAAATAATACTTTAACAGCCATTATATACTTACCTTTAGATAATGCTTCCTTGTATTTTTCTTTGGCAGAGTTTACTTCTTTAATTAATTGTCTATAACTAGATTTTAATTTTTCCAATTCAGTTTTTGTAACCTACCAAAAAAAAAAAAATAGAAAAGAAATTGGCATATCAACACATACTGTGAGAGTTTAGACATTATCTACACAACCAAGCTGAAGCATGGAAAAATCAGTAAGGGAATATTTCATTTCCTTATGTGGGGCCCTATTAAGCAGAAGCATTCTGAGACAACACTTGAATAATTCTATGGATCATATTTTTGAAAGAAATGCACACAACGATTTCGATAGGAAACAACACTCTTCAGCAGAGACCCATCTGTATATTCTTACTGTAAAACAGCCTGAACTGGGGTTAAAATTCTCTTTTCAGAGAAAACTGAATTCTCTGATTTTGAAAATGTAAGTATTGAAAACGCAATTTGACTCTTTTTTCTTGCTATATAGCCTAAGAATACTGTAATTTGCAATGACAATTTGCTATAAGTAATATATTAAAAATGCTTGGAAATAATACTCCATTCCCATTTTTAACTTAGCAAAGGAACTTTTATTTCTGTACAAATTTTCCACATGTTTATATATTTGCTTATAAGTAAAATTTAGAAGTTAACAGAAGTTAACAGTTAAGAAGAATTGGCAGTCAAAGACAAGTCTGAACATATTTTCAGTGAATGAAATGTGTATAAATTTATAATGTACTTTTAAAATATACCTTGAACATCTCTGCCTCAATTTGCTGGTGAACACCTACATAGCTTTTCTTTATCTGCTGTTTGTCTTTAATCATCACAGTAAGTCTATGTAATGGCCCAGCATTCAAGTCTTCTGCATGTGTCTTCATGATCTTGCTAAGTTGCTCTGTTTGTTGCACAATAAGCAACCATGACTTAAAAAGAGATGAAAAGAGATTTATTATTGGCTTAGAAACCAAAAATATAAAGGTCAACTTTCCAAAGATAAGACATGTTTAAATATTTATTGGCAGAGCTCACAGTACAGTAGGATTACTAACATACCTGACTATATTTAAGAACACGTTCAAATAGCAACTCAAATATAGGGCCATAAAGACAATATACTTTAATGTACATAAAGATTATTCTATATAAACATGGAAAGAAACAGAACAATTCTCAAAAATCACTGCAGATTATATTTATATAATTAGTATGAGACATCTGAAAAGAAACCATTAATTCCAAGTTTGAAAATACAGTATATCACAAAAGTGAGTACACCTCCTCACATTTTGTAAATATTTAAGTATATCCTTTCATGTGGCAACACTGAAGGAATGATACTTGGCTACAATGTAAAGTAGTGAGTATAGTTTGTATAACAGTGTAAATGTGCTGTCCCCTCAAAATAACGCAACGCACAGCCATTAATGTCTAAACTGCTGGCAACAAAAGTGAGTACACCCCTAAGTGATAATGTCCAAATGGGGCCCAAGTAGCCATTTACCCTCCCTGGTGCCATGTGACTCGTTAGTGGTACAAGGTCTCAGGTGTGAAGAGGGAACAGGTGTGTTACATTTGGTGTTATCGCTCTCACTCTCTCATACTAGTCACTGGAAGTTCAACATGGCACCTCATGGCAATGAACTCTCTGAGGATCTGAAAAAATTAATTGTTGCTCTACATAAAGATGGCCTAGGCTATAAGAAGATTGAAAGACCCTGAAACTGAGCTGCAGCATGGTGGCCAAGACCATACAGCAGTTTAATAGGACAGATTCAACTCAGAACAGGCCTCGCCATGGTCGACCAAAGAAGTTGTACCCGTGCTCAGCGTCATATCCAGAGGTTGGCTTTGGAAAATAGACGTAGTGCTGCCAGCATTGCTACAGAGGTTGAAGGGGTGGGGGGGATAGACCATACACCTCACGCTGCATCAAATTGGTCTGCAGGGCTATCATCCCAGAAGGAAGCTTCTTCTAAAGATGATGCACAAGAAAGCCCGCAAACGATTTGCTGCAGACAAGCAGACTAAGGACATGGATTTCTGGAACCATGTCCTATGGTCCAATGAGACCAAGATAAACTAATTTGGTTCAGATGGTGTCAAGCATGTGTGAAGGCAACCAGGTGAGGAGTAGAAAGACAAGTGATACACTTGTCTTGGTCAAGCATGGTGCTGGGAATGTCATGGTCTGGGGATGCGCTGCTGGCACTGGGGAGCTACAATTCATTGAGGGAATCATGAATGCCAACATGTATTGTGACATACTGAAGCAGAGCATGATTCCTGTTCTCACCTAGGCTTCCTGATATAATAAAAAGCACACAATTAGTCCCAAAACCCTTTTTTTAATTTAACGGCTGTGAATTCCTTTCATTCACAGCACGTGCTGAATCACCAAGAGTTTATAAATAGTCCAACAGAAGTCTGCCACAATCCCTCGGATAAGGCTGGTAAACACCCACCTTTATCTTCTTTGACAGGCTGCCAAAGACCTAATTGGCAATTATCTTGGCAAGGCCACACAGAAACACAGAGTCAAAAACGGAGCTTCAAAGTACAAACCATCCACAATGTTGCTTCCTGCAAAGGCCCATGTGCCTTTGCTCTTCCTTTTTATCTTATGGGAGGAGCCAATCATCTCCAAGCCTTACTCCCGAGTCATCCCTTTTGTTTTAACTGTTCTTGCCTTCTGGCAGCTCTGCGCATGCACGCACTAGGAACAGGCTCCCCCTGTTTCTCTGCCTCTCTGATGTCCGACTCTGGAGTCTCCAGAATCTGGACATAACTCCTAGATGGCTCTGGCCCCATCTCTGCCTCTGACACAGAGCCCTCGTCTGAGCCTTCCCCAGACTCCAGGACTGGCCCATGTTCCTCCCCAGCCTCCTTCTTGTGACTCCGACCCCTGAGCCTGTCCTAACAGAGGGAGAGGACTCAGAAGGTGAAGGAGAGGATTTGGTAAGGCCTCTCTCTCCAGGACCCTCCTCTCTGGCAATGCCTCAGGTTTCCTCCAAAGGCCAAGAGATATGCCAGGAGCAAGGCACTTCGGAGCAGCCGCAGATAGAGAATGAGGGGGATGAGTTTTGGCTGGATCCCAGAGAGCGTCGGAAGGATAAGCGCGCGCAGCAGAGAAAGAGGCGTGGGTGGGCCAGAGATTGAGCTGAGTCACTGGACCACACCCCACAAGGGATAAAAGGGTATGTGTCGGCTATTCAGGCCTTGTGACGGACAAATTGAAAAGCTCGGAAGTCATATCGTGTTTCTAGAACCCTGTTAGAATCTCTTTTTGGATTTCTTCGGACTGGACTTTGACAATGCTTTGCTTTGAGGAATTAATTTGGTATATCGGACTGAGGAGAAAAAACCTCCCTTAGTGAGTAAAATGTCTTGGCAGGCAGTTCATGGTTCGCTGCCAAGACTGTTATCTTAAAGGAATTCCTGACTGTTTGATTCATTAATTCCTGGCTGTCTGTTTGTGTGTGTGCGTGCAATGGGGACAGAATCTCACTGTCTGACTGCTGCCAGCTCCGCAGGCTGCTGGCGGACCACAACAATCCCCTCCCTTCGGAGACTGGGCCAGAGGGCAGTATTCCAACATGATAACGACCCCAAACACACCTCCAAAACAACCACTGCCTTGCTAAAGAAGCTGTGGGTAAAGGTGATGGATTCGCCAAGCATGTCTCCATATCTAAACCCTATTGAGCATCTGTGGGACATCCTGAAACAGAAGGTGGAAGTGCGCAAGGTCTCTAACATCCACCAGCTCCGTGACGTCATCATGGAGTAGTGGAAGAGGACTCCAGTGGCAACCTGTGAAGCTCTGGTAAACTTTATGCCTACGAGGGTTAAGGCAGTGCTGGAAAATAATGGTGACCACACAAAATATTGACACCTTGGGCCCAATTTGGACATTATCATTTAGGGGTGTACTCACTTTTGTTGCCAACAGTTTATTTATTAATGGTGTTAATTGCGTGTGTTGCATTATTTTAAGGGGACAGCACATTTACACTGTTATACAAGCTGTATCCTCACTACTTTACATTGTAGCCAAGTGTCATTTCTTCAGTGTTGTCACATGAAAAGATATACTTAAATATTTACAAAATGTGAAGAAGTGTACTCACTTCTGTGATATACTGTACATGTTACATAATATTGGTATCATATGTATTTAGAATGGAATTCTCTAAATCCTCTAAGTTTTATTTCTTTTAAGTAATTTTAGCTCATAAAATAATTCGCATATGAAAAGTAGTGATCAGAATAATAAGTAAAATCTGAAAATTCCAATTCATTTTTAAGACTGCCTCTCCAAAACAGTTAAAGAGAAAAGGCAAATAAGATGTTCTAAATAAATTGTCATTCTTGCTGGCTACCTGCATATTCTTCCCTGCCCAGCAGCAGTCTCTTACCTCCTGCCAGCTTGCTTGCAAGCCACTTGGGATTTACTTAATGACCCAAGATCCTTGGTTAGCAATGGCAATGGGGAAATGCAAGGATTGCTGTTGCTAAACAATGCAGTCATACAATGTCACATTTTACAACTGTGTCACTTAGGAACAGAAGTTCTGGTTCTCATTGCCATAACTAAGCAAAGACTATCTGTATAGCCTTGTTAGATGCATTTCAAGTTCCAGCTGTCCCACAATCACAAGACTGTGATCTGTGCATTTGAATGCAAAGTCAATGGAGAGACTGGGCAGGAGTCACAAATGGAAAATGTTATATCTTTGCTTAACAACTGCAGTGATTTAATGATGGCAATGAGTGCTGCAATTATTGTTGCTAAACAAATGTCATTCTTTATATCTGCATCACTTAGCAACAGAATTCTAATTGTTATCGTTAAGCAAGGAGTACTTGAAACATAAATTTTTGGGCCAGAATGGAAGCATATGATTTACCCCAAAAATCCACAAAGAAATTCTCAAACACAAAACAAATCACATCCCATACAGAAAACATATACCGAGCCATTAAGTAGTTTAGCATCAAGATAAACAATCAAATTATGTTTATTCAAGTCTACAGAATTCAGCAGAAACCAAGAAATTGTATCCTTACAGCTGCAGTCTTAAAATCATTCTGTGTGTTTATCACAATGTTTGTAAATTTTTAGATTATCAGTTTTATAAAGTTTACTCACTTTGAATTTAAATTAAGTTTCATTACATTTACTTACCTTTGCTACACTACTGACATAATCCAATTGTGACGTACTCTCTTTATCAACTTGATTGCAAAGGTTCTGTAAAGTGGATGCGTATTCTTTGTCACTTTTTATTCTCATGGCCATAAATTTCTTCACTGTTTCCAATAGCCGTAACTCCCAATCTTGCAGTTTTAACAAAGCTTCATGAGAATACTTCAGGTCATTTCCAAACCCCATCTTTTTTCTTAAGGCACTAGATTTATCAAGGGCCACTAGTAAAAATTATTTTTGCCAGCACATCTGTAAACATCACAAAATAATAACAAAGGGCTATTATTATCATCTTTGGTCACACAGTTAACCAGATATTTATACCATTATTGTTTACACACACACACACACATCACACACACACAGAAACAAACATACTTAATATTCCTGTGTCCTGTTTTCCCACAACAATTATGTGAAGTGAGTTGGGTTGGGCTGAGAGAGTGATTCACTAGCCTGAAGTTATTCAGCTGGCTTTCATACCTAAGGGAGGCTTAGAACTCACAGTCCCATTGTAGTCCAGCACTTTAACCACTATACCAAATTGGCTGTATATTTTCTGACATAAGCATTCCCAAAGAAGAGCTAAGGACAATTATAGAGAAGAGACAAACATTCCTTTTTTCACTCACAAAGCAACAGAGTGAACTAATGAGGAAGTAAAATATCAAATCTCTTTATTCATCATCAGATCTGATTGTAGAGGCTTTACAGTGGACAATCTTTGTATTCTAGGGGCTCAGCAGTTGGTTTACAAGCTGCTTTAATACATAATATAGTTTCCTTAACAATCATGCAAACAGAGCCAGATAGTACTGTATGTGAATAATAGTCAAACAACTGTTGCTTAATGAATTACAGGTAATTCTTGACTTTCAACAATTGTTTAACAACAATTTGAAGTTACGACAGACAAAAAAAAGGTATATATGATCTATCCTCAAAGTTATGTCTGCCACAGCTCCCCCCCCCCCTTGTAGTCACATGATCACATTTTGGGCTCTTGGCAACTTGTTCGCATTTACCATGGTTGCAGTGTTCCATAATCATATGGAACTTATAGTCACAATTTGTGACTGTTTTTGCTGATTATTAGCATTTTGCTGGTTTCTGGTAAAAAATGCCCATTGGACATGGTGGATTCACTTAACAACCAAATGATTTGCTTAATAATTGCTATGATTAGCTTTACAATTGATGTGAAAATTGTTGTAAAATCAAGCCCAGTCACATGATGCTTCAACTTACAACAACAGCTCCATTGTGGTCATAAGTGGAGGACTATCTGTATAGTTAAAACAACTGTGATTTAGTGTAATATATTAAGCCAACCACTGTTATAAGATGGCATCAGGAAGTGCTCCAGAAAGCAACTAAACCTGAACAAATAAAATATATTTTGAATTGTCTGTAGATTTTTACAAGACAATTTTAGCAAAGATATCATGAAGTTAAGTATATCAGATGCTTCTTAAAAAAAGTTCCTTCTTTTACGGTAACCGATTGGCTTTTTTATAGATCTAGAAGATGAACAAAACTGATTCTGATTTCTCTTCTGACTAGCTAAAAACAAGCTTTTTGTGCAGTGCTATGGTTTTCCTAACTGTGTGGAGAGAAAAATTCTCAACTTAGAATCCAATATGTCTCTCTGCACAATCAATTCATGACTGAATTCCCCCACATTCAGTAAAATGAATTAAACATAGCATATTAATATATTAAGTATAAAATAGTGTAAAATGACAACTTTCATATAATGTTGTCAAAACCAAAATAAAAATCTCCGTCCTATTCATGTCGGAAGCCAGGTTTAAGGCACTTCCAAGTTGAAAGGATTAGCCAGTGACATCCTTGATTTTTGGAAGATGCTGGGAGGGCTCTTTTAATGTCCCCGTCAAGGAGCTGGAGCAAATGATGGGAACTCACCCCGCCATGCAGCATCCTTCAGGTGTCAAACACAGGCTTACTAACCTCCAAACCAGCATCCTCACCATGTAAGCCATCGCGCTCCTAAAGCTGGTCAAAATTAACGTATAACTGATCTGAAGCCAGATAGCCCAAACTACATGCAAACAAAAGCTTGTTTGCATGTAGTAACTTATTTGCATACAAAACTACAGTCTATTTATTGTGCTAATCTATAAAATTCATTTTGGGGGCTTTTCTCCCTACATTTTTATTAGAACTTGGAACTGAAGATCTGTGGTCAAAATTCTTCTGATTCAGATGAGCTAATTATTTGTAAAGTTGATCTTTCCAATCCTGCTGATTCTCAGACTTTTGCAAATTTCTGAAACAGGTCTGAATTTTGGGGAATTACAAAATACTGCATAGAAGCACCTTTTTATGAGACAAGTTTAAATCATACTATACTTTTCATGGTGCTGGATGGCCATTCTAAAGGTATCCTGTCAGCCCAAAACAATTTGGCACTGAATCCATAAAAATGATATTGTTGCATTGTGATGATTAAAAAGGAATTAAATATTATTGTTCCAATAATGATTTTGATGGGCAACTTTTAGTTAATAGGTCTCAGATAGACATTACTGTAAAAGATGCAATTCTCTTAAATGTCATTACTGATGTAAGATCATCAATGATAATTTTGACTGTGTGTGTGTGTATACACACACACATTATGCAAACACGTACCACATGTAATTATTTGACTAATAGTTGTTTTCAATTGAAAACAGATACAATAATGATTGAATTGTAAGTGTATTACGTTATTGTTCAGAACAATGCCAGAATTGCAATTAATAATATTCCTTACTATGCCAATATTTACAATGTGTGAGTTATTATTGTTTTATACAGAATAAAGTACTGCTCATAAAAGAATGTTTGTAAGTAGGGGTTGTAAATATCTTTTACTAGCAAGATTCATACATATATGAAGTGATGAAACTACTGAAAGATTTTATAGAACCTAAAGACAGAACTCAAATGAAAAATAGCACTGATGGTCACGACACATCCTAAAAAGCTTTCTGGGGAAGCCACAAATTTATAAATATGTGGGTAAATGCCCCAGACAGAGCATGCTATAAATGTCAATGAAAATCAAATTCTCCAGGTAAATTCGATAACAGAAAAGCAAAATACACACATACCTTTTTTAAAAAAGTATTGTTCTGATAGTCTTTCCTTTCCAATGTTCACACCTCTGGTTTCTGGCTTAGCACTTCCAGATTTTCTGTACTTTATTAAACTCTGAAAAACAAATGTTATATGATTCACTTGACAAATCATACAATGTCACAGGCCTTGAATAGAGAGCCGCATATTATGAGATACTGATACATATTGTGAACTACAGGTAGTCCTCGACTTACGACCACAATTGATCCCCAAATTTATGTTGCTAAGGAACATTCGTTAAGTGAGTTTTGCCCGATTTTACTACCTTTCTTGCAACAACTTTCCTTGCCACTTGTTAAGTGAATCATTTAATCACAGTTGTTAAGACAGCTGGTAAGTGAAGCTGGCTTCCCCACAGAGTTTGCTTGTCAGAAAGTCGCAAAAGGTGATCATTTGACCCTGGGACACTGCAACCATCATAAATGTGAACCAGTTGCCAAGCATCTGAATTTTGGTCATGTAACCATGGGAATGCTACAACAGTTGTAAGTATGAAAAACTGTCACAAGTGACTTTTTTCAGTGCTGTTGTAACTTCAAATGGTCACTAAACAAATGGTTTTAAGTCAAGGACTACTGTACCACTCTATATATCACCAGAAGCATTTACATCTGGGGAATTTATTTCAGGTAGGACATTTACAAATCTTTTAAACTTCTGTACTATATTGCTTTATCTGGGAATCATATCCTTGATCACACCAAATTCTCTGTACCCATTTCTCATCCTGCTGACAATGCTTCCTGGACAAAATTGGTCCAGGAAGCTGGTCAAAACATCTAAGACAGCTAAAGTTCAAAGGAAAGTGTTCAGATTGATATGTAAAATCTGGTGAGTCCTTATAAAAGTTATAATTCAAAATAGCAATAATGTTACTAAATGTTATTAAAAGTAACATTATTATAAATACAATGTATAAAAACACAATACTGTTATATGAAATCAAATAACAACTCAATCCAGAATTCTCACTTGAGTGCAAATGACCAGGCTCAAATTATCCTAATTTGAACACATCGTTCAAAAACCTACTTCTCTTAGGAAGCATAGACTGTAGCGATGGGAAAGATGGAAGGAAAAGGAAAAAGGGGAAAACCAGCAAGGTGAATTATTACAATTGCAGCAATTATAATTACAGCAGCAATAGGTACAGCACTGGAAGATCAAGCTAAGGACATATCATCCAATATTTATCTATATGATCACTAGATGAAGTTGACATTATCACAGTTGACATTGATTTGATAGCACATAATCATTCAATTTTATTAAATTCTATGACAATACTTTTGGGATCTACTCTTTAAGGGCAAAGTCAATAATATTGTACTAAATTTATACAAAAAAGAGTCAAAAACGTAAATAAAACTATACCAATGGCATGTAGAAAAATACCAAATGTCCCTATTTGTATAAATAATGCAATACATTATTCCTGAATAAATATAGTGCAATGAGAAAGTATTGAGTATTCACTTTTGTCAATTTTATGTTGCAGCCTGATTCTACAGTTGTTGAAATTTATTTTTCTCATTAATCTAAACTCAGTATCCCATAATGACAAAGTGGAAACAGAATTTTAGAAATGTCTTGTAAATTTATTAAAAAGAAAAAATGATAAAATCAGGCTGTAACATAACAAAATCGACAAAAGTGAAGAGGTCTGAATACTTTTTCAATGTGCTGTATTATTAAAACTTAGACTATATCCAAAAATACATTTTATGAAATCATTAAAACTTACTCTTGAATAGACATAAGCAGAACTGTATTACAACAGCACAATGATCTGACTGAAGCAAATGAGTGATGGGTGCCAAGAACCTATTGATTTTCCTTTTTTGAATTAATATGCAGACCTCCAATTTTCTCTTTCTATTTCCCACTTGTCATCTAAGGCAGAGTTCCCCAACCTTTCTGGCTTTGTGGACTGGCAGGAAGGGGGAGGGGACGGTTCCGTGCAAGTGGCCAGCAAGCACACACGTCAGCTCCATTTGCACCAGAAGTGGGTTCTACTTACCTTTACTACTGGTTTGCAATGGGGCCACGTGCACATGTGCAGAAGCTTCTGCACATGCGCAAAAGCTTCCTGATGATAATGGGGTTGGTGGGCGGAGCCTCCCACCAGTTTTACTACCGGTTCTTGCAAACCGGTCTGAACCGGGGACAACCCACCACTGGTGTGCACGTGCTCACACACTTCTCACATAAGTGGGAATGTGCATGTGCTTTCCATTTCCTCAGCCCAGTTGCAAACAGCTGACAGCTCATCAGTGGGTCACAGTCCAGAGGTTGGGGACCCCTGACCTATAAGGCTAATATCTTCTGAAATATCAACCTCAGAAAGCAACAGGCTGCTATGGTCCCAAATATTTTGTCATGGCCCTAAAATTATAATATTAAAACTATTTTTGACATTTATATTGAAACCGGGGGGTTTAAAAAGCATAAAAGCATTGCTCCCTTATTTGCAACATGCTGATTTGTAATAGCAAACTTTTAATGTTTTTCAAGATATTATGGCTCCAAAAGCAATTGTTTGGCTTATTTGCTGCACTACCTCACAAGGCTTTCAGGCCTGATCGTTCAAAAATAAAATCCTTAAATTATACTGCTGCATGGAAGACTATAAGGCAGTGCTTCCCAAACCTGAGTAAATTATCAAAAATTGGATAAAAGGTGTTTTGTTTTGTTTTTTGGTAACAACACAAGAACCTATTATCTATCACTACAGGGACAATTAAATTAACCAAGTGTATTAAAATATATTCAAAAACCACCCAAGGTATTCGGACAAAACAATGAAATTGCCAATAGTAATTTATTGAAATGACCTAAAGATGATTCAATAATTCTTTTGTTATACAAGTAGTCGAGTTACAACCGTTGGTTCAGCAACTGTTTGAAGCTACAAGAGTGCTGTAGGAAGGGAATTAGGCTTAGGGAGTTATGACAGGTCTTCGAAATTCAAGCATCTTACCCCATTAAAACAAACCCACTCTACTCCTACCAGCAGAGGAGCCTGCTGCAGATCCAGTCAGTCAAGGAACTCCAACTGGCAGGATCCAGAAGGAAAACCTTTTCTCTGCTGTAGCACGAACCCCTCTGGAACTTCCTAGCCCCTGGGGTGAGGTTTGCCCCTGCCCTTTTATTCTTCCACAAGAGCCTGAAGACCTGGCTCTGCCAGTTGACCTAGGGATCCAACAGGGGAGTTGACACTGGAGGTGGCACTGGACTCATTAGCTGAACCCACCTCCCCCCTGCGCTTCCTGCTCCCCCTCCACCCATCTTTTTAAATTTCATATTATTGTACTTCTTTGTTTGTTTTTATTGTTTCATTACTTTGCTTTTGTTATGTTTACATTTTTTATCATTTTTTCCCATTTTACTGTTGTAAGCCACTCATAGTAGCCCTAGAGTGACTTGGGCAGAATAAATTTAACAAATAAATAAATCTGATTGTAACTGTTCCGTTTACATTTAAAGAAGTTATTGTATTCTGCATATGACTTTTTACTTTTAATCATCCCTGGTGGCCTGTCCAATTAACAAATATATAAAAACCCAGGATTTATTCTAGCTAAATCTCCTGAACTCTAGTTTTTTCAAAAAGATTTTACCTAGCTCTCTGTTTAAATTATTCTTTCAATTTCTCACCATGTCTTTCTCTAACTTGGGAGCTTCATCTTATCTATTATAAGAGGAAATGAGTAAGAGCTCCTCTGTAAACTAAAAACCAAAATTGTACCTTATTTATCTACCAACAACTCAAGTTTAAAAAGAAAATAAAACTGAACAAAACACTCTAATTGCGATCTAATGAAACAGTTCTTATCACTAAATGTACATGATGAAATCACTGCAGTACTTAGAGGCACAGATTAATGCTGTTTGCAACTGCAAGGGAAAACAGATCACCTTTCCAGATTATTTTTTTTTTAGCTTTCAGCAGTTGGGTGTGACCTGTAATTAGAAGGATAGTGAAGAAATTTATTTCTCCAACATTTTACTCACTGACGTTGACAAGGTTACTTATAAGACTTGCTTCACAGCAGAACACTTGAGGTACGTAAGCACAGGGGAGACATTTATAGCTTAACCTGTTTAGATTAACACCTGAGACTAAAGCTAAAGAATAAAATAAAAATAAAATAAAAAGTAAAGTATAAACTTGTAGTTTATTCAAAAGTAAATACTGTTGTTTTCAATATTATTTATTTTCAATTATTTATAGGTATACAACCATAGATATGAATTCCAAAATATAGTTTTATTGTACATAAAATAAAATTGAAAATAACATTTTCTTATTATTATGGTTGGTCACACAGTCAGCCAGATGCTTAGACTGGATTTGGCATTTTTTATCAGCAGATTTAGAAATTTACAAAGTAGTAAAGAGGAAGAGAGAAATACAATTTCTGAAATCAGGGTAGATTTGATTTAAATCAAGTCATTTAAATAATAATTTTTAAAGAGCAACTGTCATCTCTGTCCTGCAGCAGCTTTTCCTCTGACCCACTGTTGACTCACAGACAGTCCCATTCACTTTAATGGGATAGCTGGTGAGGCAGCAGTGACACAACAAGGTGAGGGACGTGGCAGGCAGCAGGTGAGTGGATTCCCGCTAACAGGTGCGGCCATGATGGATCAGAAATGACAGGTGCTCTTTAAATGCAAGGATTCGTTCTTGCCGGTAGTTAGAATCTATATTATTATTTGCAAACAAAATGAAGGTTTCCTATTTAGCTTGCAGAGCTTGGATTCATTGAATGAGTTTACCAAAAATGTAAATATTGCAGAATATACAGCCTCATATTAGATAATTAAGCTCCATTTCATGCTGAATAAACTACATTATTAATGTATCTTAAATAGAAAACCGTCTTTAGATTTTTACTTCAGAAACATTTTATTAAAATAAATTTTATAAAAATAAAAATAAATCCAATTTAAATTTTAAAAAATCATCGATTTTTATCCACTGTCTGAAATTCATTTTCCCCCACTCCTCTTACTAGAAATGTTCCAGCTAATTTTTTCTCTTCTGATTCAGAGACTTTTTTATGCCA